TATGGGACCAGTTTTCAAGTTGGTCCAAGTTGGGGTCCAAAATTAAACTTTGTTTGATTTCAACAAAAATTGAATATATGGGGTTCTTTGATATGCTGAATCTAACCATGTATTTTGATTTTGGACATTGGACCATAATAGGTAAATTAAAAAAATTGAAGTTCTTAGACCACATTCTTTCTGTGTCAGAAACCTATGCTGTGTCAAATATTTAATCACAATCCAAATTCAGAGCTGTATCAAGCTTGAATGTTGTGTCCATACTTGCCCCAACTGTTCAGGGTTCGACCTCTGCGGTCGTATCAAGCTGCGCCAAGCGAAGCATTTTATTATAACTAATCATGGAAATTAAATATTAATATGAATAAAGGAAACTTTGTGATGTATTAATTCCCTACACATTAGCTAATGTGTGTATTTGTTTGATTATTTTGTAATTCTTTGTTTGTTATTTTTCCATGTATTTCAGGAGGGCCTCAGGGAAGATTAGTTTTACAGCTAACTGTGTAACCCTCTTTAAATACAGAATTATTATTACATGTATTATAATTATTATTATTTAAAAAAAAATGAAATTTTTATTTTTCTTCCTATAAAAACTACACACAATTTGTATTACATATTTACATTTGTAATTAACTAAATATTCACATTTATGAATATGGATAAGTGTTGTGTATTTACTATTAATTCATTCATGCAGCAATTACCACCTATTATCAAGAAAACAAACCTATGGCATTCATCAACTAACACACTCATAATTGGAATGACAAATTTATTTGAAAATTTTGTGTTTTCTAAGTGTTGTGGCTGATAAGCTGATTTTAAATCCATCATCATTTTGATGCGATTTCTCATGGATAACTGTAGGACTGTATTACTGGGGAATGATATTTTGGAAATTGTTTTTTTAATTTTTTGGTAATTTTTTTGAAGAACTTCGTGATAGGTTTGTTTGTTTGTTATTCTGTATAAATTACTTTTCAGAATGCTATATATATATAGTTTTTTTTTATGAAGCGAACCCCTTTAAAAACTTAGCTCATATTGTCCATTAATATATATATAAATAAACTAATTAAATTCTTGGTGTACTTGGATATGCTGAATCTGTCCAAATCGGGGTCCACAAATTGAATATATGGTTCTTTGATATGCTGAATCTAACCTTGTATTTTGATTTTGGATTTTGGGCCCTGTTATCAAATTGGTCCACATTGAGGTCCAAAGGGTTCAAAATTAAGCTTTGTTTGATTTCATCAAAAATTAAATTCTTGGAGTTTTCAATATGCTGAATCTAACAGTGTATTCAGATTTTGGATATTGGACCATAATAGGTTTAAATCCAATTTCAAATTTTTCAGTTCGTTTACACATTTATTCTGTGTAAGAAACCTATGATGTGTCAAATATTTAATCACAATCCAAATTCAGAGCAGTATCAAGCTTGAATGTAGTGTCCATACTTGCCACAACTGTTCAGGGTTCGACCTCTGTGGTCATATCAAGCTGCACCCCTCAGAGCATTTTATTATATAAAAATTTCCTTTCAAATATCTTGTGACTTTACTAACAATTATGCACTATGAAATTAACAATAAAAAAAGTATATGTTAAAGAACACATTTTGAAAACTAGTAAACATATTTTCAGCATTTTTTTAGAATACGAATAAATTTATAACAATAAAGATTTAAAACAAAACAGCTGATACATATGATATTAGAATAATTACTATTGACATAATTTAATGGAACTTCAATTCTCTTTTAAAAGACCTTGAATTGAATTTTACACACAGTGCAATAACAAGCATTTATGCCATTTCAACAAAATGTTGGGGGGCATATTGTTTAACCCCTCTCCCTCTATCCCTCATAGGGTATACGGTTTGTCCGGCTAACTCCTATCACAGAACTTTTTCAAGCAAAAACTTTTTATTATGTAGGGTGTTCTGACAATACACACTGATTTTGATTTTCTTGAAATTTTCCACAAATGACGGGTTGTTGAACTTAGTCATTTTATTGTAATATATAGCCAGGATTTTGAGGGCTTAAATCACTATTGCATGATAAGAAAACCAACCTTTCTTGGGTAGCAGCTTCACCCTATTTAAACTACAGTTTTCCCTCTTGGTTCTCGTGTACATCTTCTCCATAGAAGGATATAAATTCAAAAAAGATCAGGTCCAGTGCTTGTATAGGACTAAGATGGTTATTGCATGCTTAAATACATGAAATATCAAACAGGTTCAATGTGTACTTTCATTTTCATTTTCAGCATTTTTTTAGTATACAAATTGAAATAAAATTATAACAATAAAGATTAAAACAAAACAGCTGATACATATCACATTAGAATAATTACTTTTTGACATCTAAAACAGTTTCTAAAACTTTTATTTAAAAAATGTTAAAATTATAAAGGCTACTACTGTATATGTACTTTTTTCGCGGTGTATTTATTTTCACGAATTTCGGGGTAGGGATATTTTTGCGAAAAAAGAATACACGCGAATACAAATGTAGCTTAAATTGATATAAAAACCTTAAAATAATTTTTTCCAAGAATTTACAACTGTACATGAACGTTCACCTGGTTTCCCTATATATAACCTCATTTTTATTGTGAAAATGTTAAAACAACACCAGTGATCCATACAGAAAATCAATTAAGGAAAAAAGGTAACAAATAATGACTCGAGCCAAATCTGACAGTTTTATTGTGTAACTAACACTGAATCGGAGAATATAATCTCTACCGAACGGAGGACTGTTTTGATGATTGCATAATCTTTGTCTAATTTGTAAACAATATCACTGACCTGCTCTTTATTAGTTTATATTTTGTTTATTAAATAAAAAATTAATAAATGAAAATTTTTAATATTTTATGAACATATTTATAAATACAGAACTTTTTGATTGATAGTCAGATTTCAAATGTCAAAGTTCCCTTATGCACACTTACATTTGAAAGAAATAATACTGAAGGAATGAACTAAATTTTACTCACTATTAGCATTAGTGCCTTAAGTCTATTAACCTTGTTAAGTTGAAACTCTTAAATCACTTAATGCAGAAAGTCCGTTATTAAAATAGCTTATCATAATCTATAAACACATCAACTATTATTTATTTTTGCAAATAATGACTTATCAGTCATAAACGGTCAGAGACAGAGACAAGATTTATTTTTATACGACAGCAAAAAATTTTTTGGGATCGTATAATGGTATGATGTCGTCGTCTGTGTCGTCCCAAGACACATTGGTTTCCGGACAATAACTTTACTTTAAGTGAATGGATCTCTATGAAATTTTTTAAGAAGGTTCAATACCACAAAAAGAAGGTTGGGATTGATTTTGGGGATGATGGTCCCAACCGTTCAGGAATTAGGGGACCAAAACAAGCATTTTTCTAGTTTCAGGATAATAACTTGTGTATAAGTATTTCGATTGCTCTGAAATTGTACAAGATGTTTAATACCAAAAGTAGAAGGTTGGGATTTATTTTAGGGGTTATGGGGCCAACAGTTTAGGAATTAAGGGCCAAAAAGGGGCCAAAAACAAGCATTTTTCTAGTTTCCAGGCAATAACTTGTGTGTAAGTGTATGGATCTCTCTGACATTGTACCACAAGGTTCCACATCACAAAGGGAAAGCTAGGATTGAGTTTGGGGTTAATTGCCCAAATATGTAGGAATAAGGGGCCAAAAAAGGGCCAAAAACAAGCATTTTTCGAGTTTCCAGACAATAACTTGTGTTTAAGTGTATGGATCTCTCTGAAATTGTACTACAAGGTTCCATACTACAAAGGAAAGGCTGGGATCGAGTTTTGGGGTTATTGCTCAAAGGGGGGTTTAAAAAAATTGGGGGGGGGGGGGGGGGGATTTTTTTTTCCAATCTTTTTAGAGGATTCATATTTTTTTTTCAAAATTTTTCAAATTTTGAATTTTTGAAAAGTTTCAAGAAGAAATCTTCAATTGCACAGTATTGCACAATAGATTTGTAAGATCTTTGGCCACATTTATTTTGTGTCAGAAATCTATATTATGTCAAAAATTTAATCACAATCCAAATTCAAACAGTATCAAGCTTGAATATTGTGTCCAAATTTGTACCAACTGTTCAGGGTTTGACCTCTGCGCCAACCCTCACCCTTACCTTGGACAGTGGTGTAACAGTACAACATAAGAACAAACTATAAAAATCAGTTAAAAAGGTCTTAAATCATCAGATTGATCCAAAACAGAAATACATCTAACAAAAACACGGGGTGGACGCCACAGGGTACTTATACATCTCGACAATAAAAAGACACTAAGTACAGATCTGAGAGTACTCGCAGTTACTGACAGCTAGTTCAAAGCCAAGAACAACTAATAAAAAAAATCATGCATCTAAGACACAGGCACTTGTCTCTGAAAAAAATCCTATATACCTTAATGTTATATGAAGGTATATAGGATTTTTTTCAGAGACAAGTGCCTGTGATCTAGGACTAAAATATCAATCAGTACACATCCAACATTCAATGGATTTAGTGTAAAGATGTCATTAACAGTCAGAGAAAAACATGACCTTGTGCAATGCCAAGATACAGGTATCGACAGATTGTTCGACAAATAAGTCAGATTGATGATTGAAATTGACTCTAAATTACAATTGTAACTATTTTTTTCATAGTTGCCTATTATCTTGAAAACTATAATGGATAGACAAAAACTCTTAAAAAATTATCTGCAAGAAAAGGGTTTGACCCACACAGTTTCCATTCAACCCAAATATTCTTGTTGCATTGTATCAATTTCATGCAAAAATGCAAAGTCAGAAAGTTTAATTCACATTTACCTACAAAATCCAGGTAAACAAGTTCACCATGAATCCATAGTTAATTGTTCAATGCAGACTTTTTAAGTTAGGTGAATCTGAAGGAACCTCAGAGAATCTAATACTTTTTCTTGTATTTACTTTCATTTTCATTTTATTTTTAGGAAGAAGATAAGAAAAATGGTGAATGTAAGGATGAAATAAAATAAGGAAATTTTCATAATCTTAAACACGGTTTGCAAAAATATACTTATTTTCAAGAAAAATGCAGAGCACGCCAGTCTACTCATTGTCATTGGAACTTTCAATATCAAAATAATGTGCTTAGTTAATATTACTATTCAAAGTTTTGTCTGTTCTAGCCAAAAAAATAAAATGTTATAAGAGAAAAACATAATTTACAAAAATGATTACCCTTTTATAGCTTTGATTGTTTTTAACAGTTCAGGGCATTTTGATTATTCCATATAAATCTATGTTCATTGGAGTTTATTTGCATTATTTGTGTATTTCAAAATGAAGTCCCTTTGAATTTACTTTATTGACATACAGTTTTAATATAACTGCATGTCATTTGATTTTGGCGGTAATTTTTCCTATACTTGACTGAATTAGCTATGTTTATATATTTATGGAGAGAAATTTCACATTTTCCTGTGATATATACAGCAAGTAGAAAATGATTTTAGGTTGATATATTAGGAAGTTGTTTGTACAGCCTAGTAGTGAACTTATTTTACTAAAATAACCTATAACCTGCTATCCTCTTTGTTTCTTAATATGTTGACTTGGTCATTTTTGTCGAGCCTGAGACATAGGGATCCTAGATTCCGTTGTCCACGTCAACAGTGTCAACATTTAGGTTCAGTCTGTGGTAAAAAGTTTTTTTCCAGTGCTAAATTTTGAAAATCTTTATTTTCATTTTTCTGTACTTTACTGATAAATGGACTTATATAAAAATATGGATATCTGGTGTGATTGCCAATGAGACAACTATCCACCAAAGTTCAAATGAAGTGGATGTTAGTAATTATAGGCAACCGTACAGTCTTCAACAATGAGAAAATAGTTTTTTACAGTTAACAAGCTCAGTCTGAGGTTAAAGTTTTTCAGTCATCAATAACTTTGTCAAACCTTCATGGAATATTATGAAATTTAGACAGAAGCTTGTTAAGGACCAAAATAAAGTATCCAGAGCAAAATTTCATTTTTTTTTGTATTTTACTGATAAATGGACTTAGTTTTTTTTTACAAAGTCCTCATCTTTCTTAACTGTAATAGTTACCTTAGTTACTCATTTTATTGGTTCATTGATAAACAATTCAATATTTCATTCAGTCTTAAGCACAAATGCAGCTGAGATACTTCAGCATGATTACTCTTGTTTAAATGGATACAACCAGAATATTTTTATTTTCATAGATCAGAATTTGAAGAGAATATATTGAATAGGGCAATACTTTATGTCGAATTGTTAATTTATTTTTATATTTTTATTTATTTACTTATAAGAAATAAAATCATTTTAAAGCAGCATTTTCCTTTTTATATTTGGACAATTTCCTGCAGTTCCAAGTTGTTAATCATTAATCTTGTGTAAACACTAACAAATTTTGGATTGTAAAACCTCAGACAATGTTGAATTGCTGAAACATTTCATCAAAATAGATATTTTGCTTGTATAATTTCCTTTTGGTAAATATATGATGGCTATTTCAGTGTGCACATAACAAAGTTTACTGTAAATTGAATCCAGCTTAAACCCTTGAAGGGCACAAAAAAAAAATCCAAATAAACAAAAGCTTACAATGGACAAACTTTTGGAAACTTGTGAAAAAAATTGTATTGAAAATCATGGAAAATTCCATTCCAACCAAACTGATCAACAATGCAAAAAAAGAAATTACCATGGGCAAATAAGAAATAAAATTGTGCACTGATTAGAAAAAGAAACAGATTGTTCAAAAAGATGCAGTTTTTTCAAACAATAAAATATATAAATAGTACAGGAAACAAAGTAAATCCTTCAAAAAGAGACAAGAAAAGTTTACTTGACCTACAAAGAAAACATCATATGTAATTACTAAAATTAAGATGCTGCACAAAAACCAAAAAAAGGTTTCAAATAACATCAGGAACAGCAAAGAATTAAACTCAGGAGTGCACTGTTGAGATCTGAAGACATGCTAATAGATGATAAAACAAAAAGCCGAAATATAAAACAAACAATATTACACTTTTTTTACACCAAGGATATCATGAATATATACTAATTCTTTCATACAGCTACCCTCTAAGAAAAAATCCTCAAACTCTTGGATCCATCTAAAGATGCAGGAAATCCTGCCATGTATTATCAAACAATTTGCAACACACTTCATTTTCATTTTAATACGACCGCAAAAATTTGTTGGTATGACGTTGGCGTTGTCGGCGTCGTCGTCCTCGTCCGAAGACACATTGGTTTTCGCACTCTAACTTTAGTTTAAGTGAATGGATCTCTTTGAAATTTTACCATAAGGTTAAATACCACAAAAGAAAGGTTGGGATTGATTTTGGGGGTTATGGTACCAACAGTTAAGGAATTAGGGGCCATAAAGGGGCCAAAAATAAGCATTTTCTAGTTTCCAGACAATAACTGTGGAACGGTGTATGGATCTCTCTGAAATTATACTACAAGTTTCCATACCACAAAGGGATGGTTAGGATTTGCTTTGGGGGGTTATGGCTCAAACCGTTTAGGAATTAGGGGCAAAAAAGGGGAAAAACAAGGTTGTCCTGGTTAATGGACAAATACTTGAGTACAAAACATAATTTAAAGCAGTGTAAGGGAGATAAATCAAATACTTCATTGAAATTACCTCCCTTACACTGCTTTTAAATTATGTATGAAGTAATGGTTAATGAACAATTAAGATAATTTAAAAGTTTTTCTGGAATGATTTGAAATCTTTTGTTGTTAAATCTTTAAATTATGGGTCAAATTTAGGACACTTATCAGTGACTCAAAGGCAGGGAATCATTACATGCTTACCAAAAGACAATAAACCAAGACATTTACTCAAAAATTGGAGACCTATCTCCTTGCTGAATACTGTATACAAAATAAGTTCAGGGGTTATTGCTAGTAGATTTAAAAAAGTTTTTAGACAAACTGATTGATTTAGATCAAACTGGCTTTATCAGTGGACGTTTTATTGGGGATAACATAAGATTAATTTATGATCTTTTACAGTATACAGAAGAACATAACATTCCAGGTTTATTGCTTTTAATTGATTTTGAAAAAGCATTTGATTCTCTATCTTAGGACTTTCTGGTGTCAGTGTTGCAATTTTTCAATTTTGGTGAATCTATTATTAACTGGGTTAAAGTATTTTATAATAATATCTCATCTGCAGTCATTCAGGGGGGAAATCTTTCAGACTTTTTTCAAATAGGACGTGGCTGTAGACAAGGGGATCCCTTATCACCTTACCTTTTTATTATTTGTGCAGAAATTTTGGCAATTCGAATACGGGGGAATAGAAATATTACTGGTATAACTGTGACTAGGATAGAACATAAGTTATCACAGTTTGCAGATGATACTTCACTTATTTTAGATGGAAGTGAACAGTCCTTAAATGAAACTTTAAATGAATTAGATTGGTATGCAAAACTTTCAGGGCTAAATATAAACATTTCTAAAACACAGGTAGTTTGGATTGGGAGTAAAAAATATTGTAGTGATAAACTTTGTCCAAACAGAAATTTATCCTGGGGTACAACATCTTTTAAGTTAATGGGTATAAATTTTGATGTTGATCTTGATAAAATTATTAACATTAATTATAATGAGAGGATTTTGCAGATAAAAAATCTAATTAAGATATGGTCAAAAAGAAATCTTACAGTAATAGGTAAAATTACAGTTGTGAAAACTCTGATTTTACCTGTCCTTAATCACCTTATAATTACATTGCCAAATCCAAATCAAGAACTTGTGAAAAAGATCAATGAGCTTATTTTAAAATTTATTTGGAATTCACCTGTTCATAGAGTCAAGAAAGAGCTGTTGCAAAAAGATTACAGTGAAGGTGGATTGAAAATGATCAACCTTAGCTCCTTTATCACAGCCCTCAAATCTACATGGGTTAGAAAACTTTTCCAATCTGACAATAAATGGAAAAATGTTTTATTTTCCATAATAAATCAAGAAAAATTATTTAAATTTGGAAATGGTTATCTGTCAAACATTAAAGTAAATATGAAAAATAAATTTTGGCTTGATGTATTCCATGCATGGGACATTATCATTGATAAAGATGAAAACAATACGTGGGAATATTTTTTGTCAAGCCCACTGTGGATGAATAATTGTATAAAAATAGAAAATAAACCTGTATTTTATAAAAACTGGTTTAATAAAGGTATAGTTTTCATTAATGACATTATATCAGATGCTGGAAAAATTCTCAGTTTGGAACAGTTAGAAGAAACATTTAAAGTTGACAGAAATGTTATGAAATACAACAGCATAATTTCTGCTGTAAAGAATGCAAGAAAGGGCTATGTTTTTGATAATTATAAACTAGTCACTCCATTTATTCCTTCATTTGCCAAGATTTTTTTTAAAAGCTCAAGGGGAACTAAAGACATGTATTCACTATTAATTAGAAATAATATAGTTTCAACGGGTCAGAAAAAATGGGATCAAATTTTAAATGTAGATGAAAATGAATGGAGAATAATTTTCAAATTACCTTTTGTAGTCACAAAAAATACCAAACTGCAGTGGTTACAATATAGAATAAATCAGCATATTCTAGGTACAAATAAATTTTTGAATAAAATTAATGTCACAATCCAAATTGTACATTTTGCCAAGAAGAAGTAGAAACTATTGTACATTTATTTTGGAATTGTGAAATTGTTCAAACATTCATTGATGAAATTGACTCATGGTTTTTGTCTAATGGTATAAGTGTTCCATTTACCATAAAACATTTTCTGTTTGGGGATATTACAAAATCATTTAGGGGGAATGCTGCAAATTTGATTTATTTGCAAATAAAACAATATATTTTCAACTGCAAATATTTTAAGAAAGCTTTAACATTGCAGGCAGTGCAAAGTAAAATAAAATCTTTATACAGCACTGAAAAATTAATTGCTGTTAAAAATAAAAGAGTAGATATTTTTGACCAGAGTTGGAATGCTTTTGCCATCCTTTTCAGTGAATGATCAGTTATTTTTTACATTGTATATGTGTACATAAATTAATAGACATAGAATGTGCATATGATATATTGTCTCTTATATGAGAAAAAACTACATGATTCATCTGTGCAAATAAATAACCAAAACAAACAAAACAACTTTTAATTTCTTTGAAATTCATCTGATTATCTATCTTTCAATTATTTTTTATTTTTATTTTTTTTGTTTTTTTTCATTGTTTGAATTTAAAAAATCTACAGAAATATCTTATATATATTTATATTTTACTACTAAAACAACACAAATTATATATTTTTTATAACCTGTGCATTTGTTATATTAGATAATTATATGTTTGATAATCTTAATGGTAAGCTTGTTTATTGATATTACTGACATGGTACATAATTTTTTTAAGTATGGAAAATTGTATGTATAGTACTAACAAAAACTAACAGCTGTATAAATATGTTATTTTACTAATGTTAACGAGGCCGGGATAAGGTACCGGTACTTGATGTTTTCCACTAACAAATGTACAGATTTCAATAAAATATGATAAATTAAAAAAAAAAAAAAAAAAAGTTTAAAAAAAAAAAAGATAATTTAAAACAGTGTAAGGGAGGTAATCCAAATACAACGTTTTGGTTACTTCCCTTACACTGCTTTTAAATTATGTTTAAAGAAATGCATATTTATAAAGGAAATAACGGTAAAAATATCTGCAAATGTTGCATCTTTTTTTTTTACATAAAAATCCATATGAAAGATTTGACACTATATTTTAAATTCTATTATAAAATAGATTAAAGACCAAACAGCCTATTGTTGATGCGCATCAACTAACGCAACTTGGTAGTGACATAAAAGCTCTAAAGTTTCTAGCCATGGAAAAAACGTCAAATTATAACGTCCTATTTCGCGTTTATCACGGATTCCAACATTGTGAAAGTACATCTTCCAAGAAAAGTGGTATTAATCGTCGCACTGATACCTAGTGGAAATTAAACACAAATGGACACAAAAGATACTACACTATCTGTAACCTCCGTTCTAATAAAAATAATGATAAAAATATGAATTTTGAACTCAACTTTTTGCATTTGCGCCGATCTGCATTTCACTTTTTTTCTTTCACTTGCGCCGATTTTGTCTTTCATTTGCGCCGATAGTGTACAGGTAAATTATAGGTAAAAGTTATTTTTTTATTTATCATATAAACCTCTTCCGTTAGCCAGTTGTACATCTGTTATGAATTGTCAGTTATAACATGAATATAACTGTTGTCCCCTACTCACAAAGGGAGGTGGGAGTAGAATTTTTGAACAGGATAAGTCAATTTAAAAGATATTTGTGCACTCTGTTTTCATCCACTAAAATCACGGAGTAAAATTCTATTTACAGCATTTCAAAGCACCACAATTAAATCCATAAAAATGTAATACTAGTACAATGAATCATTATCTTGCCGAGAATTTATATGCCACACATCTGATATATTCCTTTCTTGTCATTTTATCTTTTCTATACTTCTTGTACTTGCCAATAACGAAGACTATCTTTTCTTTCTCGTGTCAAAACGAAGTTCTCGAACAATATGACCAAAATTATCTTAAACATAAGGGAACACTATTTATATCCATATATTACCATGCAATATACATTCTAGGTTTACTACATGTACATGTATTTACTCGTACTCGTATAGCAAATAAAGTATCGGGCTAGTGATAAAAAAAATAAAATAGGCGCTACTGAAAGAATCAAATCGGCGCAAATTAAAGATCAAAATTTTTTTTAAATCCGCGCAAATCTCGTACGCCCGTGTAACTTTACACTGGTAAATTTATATGACTTGCGCTTAGAATTTTAACTTAATATGTGTTTTTCAAAACTAAGTTTTCAAAAGGTTAGGCCGATAAACAATACTTTCTAGAATTTTGATATACTGGCAAAGTATGCATGTTGAGATTAACTTATTTCTTTAAGATTCTCGTAAAATAATGGTGGTCTTGCAATGAAGTTAAATTTTATCTATACTGTTTAATTGACAAAATCTTAATGTAAAAATAAAAATGATAAAGGTTCATTGTCTTTTGTCGTTTGTTTCATTTCAAATTGTCTCAAGGAGAAATGATAAAGATTTCGCCTGATCTCACAGAAGCTTAAGGCAAAAAATATAAGAAATTGATATACTCAGCGAATGTGAATTAAAATAAAAAAATTACGGTTTTTAAAACTAAACTTGTTGTAAATTTAACTTATAACAAAAACAATAGTTATCAAAGGTACCAGGAATTGCTTCAAGAATAAGATCCAACATAAAATTTCTCACTTTCAAAAACCTACAATGACCGGAAAGATTGAAAACAAATTTCGATTTTCAATGCCGGCGATCTATACATACAACCTTGTCTTTGTTTTAATTTCCAAATGAGCTATTTAGATTCCTAATATTTCATCCTGTTCTGAGAAATACTTTATAGTTTTCAACGGAAAATTATTTCTTAGATTCTAAATCAATTTTTGAATTAAAAACTTATTTGTATTTTATATTTACTGTCTCGTTTATTCAAAACACGTGAGGTAGTAATAACGGGGATCGTATTTTATGATAGGTTAAATGGATGTAAAACGTTTTAGAATCAAAAACTTTAATTCATATATTATACCAATACACCTATAATTTTAATTTTAATTTTCTTATATTCTAAATATTCAGAAATAATGAATCCACAAACTAGATGGAATAATTTGTATACGCTCGTCTTAGTTGGGACACATAATGGTATCAAGAAGTCCGTCCGTGATAATGTCTGTCCGTCTGTCAACAGTAGCGAAAGAGTGCGCTAGGGCGAAGTTCTGAAATTGATGCGACAAAAAAAACCCACACATCTAGTTTTAATATAGTCAAATAGTCTGTAAGTTAACCAGTGTCATCTTTCATTTCTCTTTTTATTTTCAATGATTTTGCTATTGAGAGGGAGAGGACAAAAACAGACTTTCCTTTCTAAAGCGTCGTGAAAGGTTATTTCGAACAATTTTTCATTCTGAAGGTTAACTTTGTGTGGCAACAACATCATGAGATCTGATACTGATACATACATGTGATCTCTTGTATTACCGGATAATAAAGTAGGTGAATATAGTTGTTATTTTTGATTCTTGAAAATTTAGATGTGGGTTTCAAACGTCCAATTTGCAACTTTTTTCAAACAGTACGCCAGCAAGGAAAACTTGTACTATGACGTCAGATTCAATGTTCTGAAGAAAGACAACTCTTTTCTTCAAAACGAACGAGAAAAAAACATGAAAATTAATAATAACTTTTTTGAAAGGTCGGTGACATATACATTTTTGTCGAGCCTGCGACTTTTGTCGCAGAAAGCTCGACATAGGGATAGTTAGCTAACTTCTTAAAAGCTTTGTATACAGAAGCCTTATGTTACGAAGTTTCCGTCTGTCATATGTCCAATGTCCTTGACCTCATTTTCATGGTTCAGTGACTACTTGAAAAAAAAAGTCAACATTTTTTGTAATGTAAATTTCTTTCTTATTATGAGTAATAGGATAACTATATTTAGTATGTGCGTACCTTGCAAGGTCCTCATGCCCGTCAGACAATTTTCATTTGACCTCGACCTCATTTCATGGATCAGTGAACCAGGTTAAGTTTTCGTGGTCAAGTCCATATATCAGATACTATAAGCAGTAGGTCTACTATATTTGGTATATGGAATGATTGTAAGGTGTACATGTCCAACTGGTAGGTGTCATGTGACCTTGACCTCATTTTCATGGTTCAGTGGTCAAAGTTAAGTTTTTGAGTTTTGATCTTTTTTTCTTATACTATATGCAATAGGTCAACTATAAATGGTGTATGGAATGATTGTAAGGTGTACATGTCTAGCTGGCAGGTGTCATCTGACCTTGACCTCATTTTCATGGTTCAGTGGTCAAAGTTAAGTTTTTGAGTTTTGGTCTTTTTTTCTAATACTATATGTAATAGTTCAACTATATTTGGTGTATGGAAATATTTTATGATCTATATGTCAGTCACGCAGGTTTTATTTGACCTTGACCTCATTTTCAAGGTTCATTGCTCAGTGTTAAGTTTTTGTGTTTTGGTCTGTTTTTCTTATACTGTATGCAATAGGTCTACTATAGTTGGTGTATGGAATGATTGTAAGGTGTACATGTCTAGCTGGCAGGTGTCATCTGACCTTGACCTCATTTTCATGGATCAGTGGTCAAAGTTAAGTTTTTTAGTTTTGGTCTTTTTTTCTAATACTATATGCAATAGTTCAACTATATTTGGTGTATGGAAATATTTTATGATCTATATGTCAGTCAGGCAGGTTTTATTTGACCTTAACCTCATTTTCAAGGTGCATTGCTCAGTGTTAAGTTTTTCTTAAACTATAAACAATAGGTCAACTATATTTGTTGTATGGAAGAATTGTTAGCTGTACATGCCTGCCTAGCATGGTTCATCTGACCTTGACCTCATTTTCATGGTTCATTGGTCAATGTTTAGTTTACTTGGTTAATGTTAAGTTTATGTGACAGTTGTAATAAAGCTTTATATTTAGGACTATCAACATAATAAAAATGATTAGTAAAGAAGGCGAGACATTTCAGCGTGTGCACTCTTGTTTTGCTTTATTTTGAAGAGTACACATGGCACTTTCCTTCTTGAAATTTTTATGAAAAAATCACTGGTAGATATTTTTTAATACTTGAAAAGTTTTTCATTCTTGCGTTTTATTTTTGGCGGGAATGAAATAAATCATATTTTTTAAGATCAAAACAATAAGAGTCTTAAACTCTTGAACCTGTATTTGATAGACACAAATCTACTGTTTAACATGAAACAAGAACTATGCTTGTAGGTTTGATATAATGGGATTTTTTGAGAGTTTAAATAACAAGCAAATATCATGTTAATATTCGGGAAAACACGAAACTGAGGTTGCTATAGTGACAAAACTAAGTCGGTGACCCCCAATTTTTTTTATCATATTTTGTTCCTCAAATCATGAAATACCTTCACACAAAATTTTAAGGAAAAATCACTGGTAGAACTGAATAGGCTGTTTGGTCTTTAAGTTAGCACTATGGTAAATTTAAATGGGTAATTATGGTTGCAAACTCCATTGGAAATTTGAATTGAGATTATGACCATATCTTGAGGGAAAGAATTTTTTTGGGGGAAAAGGGGGGGGGGGAGGGTAAAAAGAAATTGTGGAGGGTCAATTTTTTCTCATTTCAGATTTCAGAAATTAACAGAATTATTCTTCAAATATTATATTTTTTTCAAATTTCAAATATTGAAAAATTTCAAGAAGTAATCTTTAATTGCACAGTATGGCGCATTAGATTTGTAAAATCTTTGACACATTTCTTTATTTGTTTTGCCGAATATAACCGTGTATTTAGATTTTTAAATTTGGGTCCAGTTTTCAAATCGGTCTACATTAAGGTCCAAAGGGTCCAAAATTATACTTTGTTTTGATTTTAACAAATATTGAATATATGGGGTTCTTTGATATGCTGAATCTAAACATGTATTTAGATTTTTGATTTTTGGCCCAGTTTTCAAGTTGGTCCAAATTGGGGTCCAAAATTAAACTTTGTTTGATTTCAACAAAAAATGAATATATGGGGTTCTTTGATATGCTGAATCTAACCGTGTTTTTAGATTTTTAATTTTGGGTCCCGTTTTTTAAATTGGTCTACATTAAGGTCCAAAGGGTCCAAAATTAAACTTAGTTTGATTTTAACAAAAATTGAATTCTTGGGGTTCTTTGATATGCTGAATCTAAACATGTGTTTAGATTTTTTATTATGGGCCCAGTTTTCAAGTTGGTCCAAGTTGGGGTCCAAAATAAAGTTTTTTTGATTTCAACAAAAATTGAATATATGGGGTTCTTTGATATGCTGAATCTAACCATGTATTTAGATTGTTTATTTGTGGGCCCTGCTATCAAATTGGTTCATATTGAGGTCAAAAGGGTCCAAAATTAAACTTTGTTTGATTTCATCAAAAATTGAATTAGTGGGGTTCTTTGATATTCCAAATCTAACCCTGTATTTAGATTTTTAATTTTGTGTCTTGTTTTTTAAATTGGTCTACATTAAGGTCCAAAGGGTCCAAAATTAAACTTAGTTTGATTTTAACAAAAATTGAATTCTTTGGGTTCTTTGATATGCTGAATCTAAACATGTGTTTAGATTTTTGATTATGGGCCCAGTTTTCAAGTTGGTCCAAGTTGGGGTCCAAAATTAAACTTTTTTTGATTTCAACAAAAATTGAATATATGGGGTTCTTTGATATGCTGAATCTAACCATGTATTTTGATTTTGGACATTGGACCATAATAGGTAAATTAAAAAAAATCAAGTTCTTAGACCACATTCTTTCTGTGTCAGAAACCTATGCTGTGTCAAATATTTAATCACAATCCAAATTCAGAGCTGTATCAAGCTTGAATGTTGTGTCCATACTTGCCCCAACTGTTCAGGGTTCGACCTCTGTGGTCGTATCAAGCTGCGCCCAGCGAAGCGTTTTATTGTCGATTCTGCAACATTTATGTCACGGAAGCCAGACATAGCAATCCTAGATTCCGGGGTTGGCTTCAGCGTGGGTGGTGTCAACATTTAGGTCAGTTTGTGGTTAAAGTTTTTTAGACATCCATCATTTTGTTAATCCTTCATGGAATTTTATGAAATTTAGACAGAAGTTTGTTAATGACCAGAATACAGTATCCAGAGCAAAATTTTAAAAATATTTATTTTCATTTTTCCGTATTTTATTGATTAATGGACTTAGGTTTTTTTACAGTTAACATTCAGATTCAATCTGAGGTTAAAGTTGTTCAGTCATCAATAACTTTGTCAAAAATTAATGGAATTTTCTGAAATTTTGAAATTGTTAATAGTTAATGTCCAAAATACAGTACAAGAGCAAAATTTTGAAAATATTTATTTTCATTTTTAGCTCACCTGACCCATAGGGTCATCACTTGGCGTCCGTCGTCCGTCGTCATCGTCTGTCATCATCGTTATCTTTTACAAAA